GGGGGTGGCAGTTGGGGTGGGGAAAGTTGAAAGAAAGTTTTGGAAAATGTTTTCCCTCCTCTTGGTAGGAAAGTCATTTTCCCCTAATTGGAGGAAAATGAGTTTATTAGGAAAATATTTTCCATAACATTTAGGCAACCAAACATGGGAAAATTGAAAAACTGTCCTTCATACCAAACTCGCCCTAAGTGATATGGATTCAGAAAGTATAGTCTCTTGTCCTCAGTTATGGTCACAGAATTCAAATTTCTCTCTTATTCTTCTTTTTGTATATTGTTTTTCCTGTCTGGATCTTTAAGAGAAACTGAGAGGAAGTAAGCATCCGTGGATCCTAAAGTTAAGCGTCAGATCCTGATTCTGCACCATTGGGGTCTCACTTGTATATCTTCCTGATATATGTACATTCCCATTAGGAATTCAGGTCTTTGACGTTGCATTAGTTCATTTTGTAGATGATAATGATGCTTAAGTTTTCGTTATATCGAAGCCTTGTATGTTAGTTTTGCACTTAGTAGTGGTGCATCATCATGCTAGTTAGTGAATGAACTAAATGCTTTATCCCTTTAAACATTAAATTAATAAATGTTTTTATCTCTACATTCTTCCTTATTACTATTTTGGAACTTATATTGGTGAAATACAGTAGATATAGATGACAATGGAAGTATTTTCTTAGAAAAAGTTTCTGCAAACTAGCTGTCTCTTGTTTGTCATGAGCAACTCTCATCCTTGTTTTATTTCACTTGAGGTAAGTAGTTTTCCCGGTAAATAATGATGATAATACAGATGACGACAGCAGAAGATGTCAGAACAATTGCGTCATGTTGCGTGTAGTAATAATTAACTACTGTTTGGACTAGTTTAAGGGGAAACTTTTCACTGCAATACCTGAAACTAAGTGAGAATTCTGTTTAACCAGGTTCATGCATATAGATGAACGAGAATCTTTTAAATTTTCTAAGTCGATTTTCTGATCATTTGGACTGCAGGTCCAGTTCCAAACCACCAATGGGTAAAAGTAACAAAAAAGACAAACGGAAACGCACATATGATGAGGATGACGAACTGGATCCCATGGATCCAAGCTCTTATTCCGATGCTCCTAGGGGCGGTTGGTACGTATTCCAAGGCAGTGTGCTACTTGCCCTGTACTGCTTGTTTTCCCTTACATAGCTTCCCATTTCAGAGATTTTAAAAGTTCTAAAGTCAGTAACTGATGATTTCTTTTATTGTTTTACCACTCTGTAGGGTTGTAGGTCTCAAAGGAGTGCAGCCACGGGCAGCAGATACCACTGCAACGGTATGTTGACTGCCTTTCAAGTTAATGAATAAGGCTAAACTTGTCTTAACTCTGTGTGTGTATATATATATATTTATATATTATTTTATTTGATAATATAAATATCTTAATAATGTACCAAGAAGGTACTGAAAGCATACAAAACTACAGCACAGATGAAATTGTTACAATCTCAAAACTTCTATAACATCCATGTACTGATCTAAGTCTTCTGCCAAACTTCCCCTACACCAAAAGTGTAAGTTATGAAGACAACTAATTTTAACACTAGCTAATTGATTCTTCTTATTTTCAAAACATCTATTATTTCGTTCCAACCAAATGGTCCAAAAGATGCAAAGAGGTATGGGCTTCCAGATTTGCTTTAGTTTTTCCCGACTTTCTGATTCTGCCAACAAACTGGTAGATCCTTCACATTCTTTGGCGTCACCCCTTGCACACCACTCAGAGCCAAGAACAGATCCTATATCTTTGTGTAACTGCAATGCAAAAAGAGATGTTCTGCAGATTCCTGGAAATTTTCACAGAAAAAGCATCTGCCGTACAAAGGAGTTCCTTTTCTCTGCAACATATCGTGAGTTAAACATGCATTTCTAGCTACAGTTCAGCCAAAACAAGCTACTGAGGTGTCACGACCCAAAATCCCTCCTTAAGAGTTGTGATGTCACCTGGTCCCTAAGACTAGGTAAGCCACTGGATTAATAGCAGATTTTAACCAATCGACTATTAAGCATGAAACAGAAACTTCTATATAAAGCCAACAATCCAAAGTAGATACTTAACATTCCAAAACCGGTAGTACAAGTCATAAACCCTACTGAGTTCACTAGAAAATCTCTAAATACAACTGTTCCGGAATAAAATAAATAGTACAAAGTAAAACTTCAAAAGGTGACTCTGATGCTTGCGAACGCGACGGCATGTATACCTTGAGTCTCCGCAACAACACTCGATCAACTAACTAAAAATCAACACGCTCCGAGGTACCTGGATCTGCACAAAATGTGTAGCAAGCGTAGCATGAGTACACCACATCGGTACCAAATAAGTATCAAAACTAACTTCGGTGGAGTAATAACGAGGTACAGCCAAGACACCTACTAGACATAATAACTTGTACAAGTATGAATATGAAACTAACAGGGAACAATATAAAGCTAAACATGATAAGAATGTTTCTACCATACTTGCAATAAGAACTAGAATAACAATTAACAACAAGGAGCCAACATGTAATTATGTCGTAAGGTAAGGAGAATACAGTTTAAGTCGGGTGACACCAAGTAAAGGAAAACCAGTAACAACCCAATTAAAACAATCGCTTTCACACAAGATTTATTCAAGAATTTCCCCGAGGTACCACACCTCATAATCACAAATCACGGGTCCGAAATCACAAGATCTTGTGTCCTTGTTACAAATCACGTGCTGCACAGACAACTCACGTGCCAATACCATTAATACCTCATATCTGCACGGACAACTCACGTGCCAATAGTAGCAATATCTCATACAGAAGGCAAGTATACGAGAATAAATGTAAATGGTCAATAAACATCAGGGTTCAT